GTCTGTCTGTCTGTTACCGCATCACGGAAAAACCACTAAAGGGATTTTGATGAAATTTGGTATGTTGATCGCTGGTTATCCGAGTCAACATATAGAATACTTTTTACCGCGGGAAAATATCTCATTTCTGAGAAAAATACAAAAACTGCAATGTAAGAGTATACTAATATGTAAAAACCTAAGAATTTGGTTTTTGGTCATCTGAACGCGGGCGGAGCCGCGGGCAATGCTAGTGGATACATATAATGCTATCTACTGACATTCTTTAAATAAATTTTTCTTTCTTCCTGATGAGAACTTTTAGCGGAGAGACTCTCCCGTGACCATGGATGCTGTAAAGCATTCGAAACGTCGGGAACCAAAAATCAAAATAAATCCGCGAAATAATCCGAAAAGATAGTTTTATTTAATAATCCTAAAACTGTTAAACCACTGACTAATTACTATTCAAGATTAATTTAAAAAGTGGGGATTCGTTTCTGCAGCTTGAAAAGTAATAAATAAAACTTCTTTTTGATAGTCGCGACATTAACATCAAGACTTTTTAAAAAGAACAGTCTTAATTTATAAGTTGTAGCGTCTAAAAGTAGCGTCTACGATACGCACTGAAGTACGTTGTTTTTTCGATATATTATATCTTTTTCATTGCCTTATAGCACTGTTAACTCACACTCTCTACTAAAACTTTCTTTTAGTATCTTTATAACACCTGCAGGTAAATTTTTAAGAAATTAATTAAATTTCTAAGAAATCTATTGTTAACTGTAACGCCGGCGTGTCCGCATTCGTTGGGGGTTAAAACGGTTTCGCACTACTTTCAAAAAGCTCTTTCTTTATACTTCAATGTATGTATGCCCTATAAAATATAAAAAAAACAATTGATGACGATTCCACAGCAACTGTAGTTACTCTCAGTTTTTTGTCTGTGGATGCGGGGTCGATTGCTACGTAGGACAGTTATAGAGCCTGTGCAATGCACCATGCATTTTGTCTGTGTGTTTGTGTGAAAAGCGTTGGCTACGATGAAAGCGAAAAAAATACTTTAAAAGTAATTTTCAAATCTATTTATATTTTTAGACAAAATATAAATATTTCACCTAATTCTCACTAATAAGTAACAAAGTCAAAATTTAACTTTAGAATATTTTATTTGAAACTTAAAAGTCTTTGTAGGCCGTTCAACTGTTTTGACCAAAACAATTACAGCGTTTGCGCTTGCTCTCGTAAAATACTCGTATAAACCAGTTAAAGGGTGGCATAATTCGTGACGGTAATTATTTACAATTAGCGTTAGGTTGGAGTACAATGCAATTGGAGTTCAGAATAATTATGTTACTTAAATAACGGTGAATACTTTAGCTAAATTTAAGTACTATTATTCTACACCTCATTCTTTAATCTAGTGCTGCAGATTCGGAAGTCCCAGGTCGTCGGGTCAAATATATTTATTGGGTTTATATAGCAAGAAATTGTCAGTAACAGCTCGAAGTTGTAAAGTTGACGATATTTCACCACCTTGCCTAATTAGAACACGTAAAGTCTGATTCATCCCTCAGGAGTTTAAGAGTGAAAGGAATAAAAAATCTAACTAAACGTAAAAAAACGAAGGTTCTTTAATTTAAAGAAGTTAATCTACTTACGTCTCAGACAAATATTTAGTATAAAATCACATATTACCCTAGTTAATAAATAATTATAACTGAATTGATAGATATGATTCTAAGATTGTAACCTAAAGCGTTGAAGCTTGCAAGGCTATATATTTTCATTGATATCTGAAAGATTTGTAAATATTTATTTTAAGTCCTAACTGGAAGTAAATTGCCTGAGCTTGATAGCTTTTAGTTTGTCTGTATGTTGATTGGATATGCAATAAAGAATTAAAACAATAAAACTGGCCCGAGAGACAAAATTGTATGGAGATAATAACAATTGCTCGTACGCTGAGGTTTACAACATTGTGCGCAACCTACGGCACAAAAGTCCAAATGGGAACTTAAATGGTTGATAAATATTAACTTTAAGGATATATACAAAACTAGCGACTCACCCTCTCTTCACTCGGTTTCGTCCCTAGGTATGTATACAACTTCCATATTTGAATCGAATATTATTAAATGTTTCATTGGTTTTAATTTTTCTTAGTGGGACCCTATTTTTTTTTCTAAAATAAAAGTAGCCTAAGTTACTCCTTATTTCATCAGCTATCTACCAGTTAAAGTCCCGTCAAAATCGGTCCAGTCATTTCAGAGATTAGCCGGAACAAACAGACAGAGAGTTAAATTGTAAAAAAATGTTGTTTTGGAATATGTACCCTCTATACATCCATATGCATTTAGTAAAAAGCTGTTATTTTGACATTACAAACAAACACTTCAATTTTATTTATCCGTATAGATATCGTAGTGCTACTATACGCACTACTAAAATTGACATTACATTAACACTTACAACGTTTTAAATATCAAGTCGCAACGAAAGCTTGTACTTATATATATAAATAAAATAAACCCTCATAAATGTAACCAAACAGCACATATTTTCATGTTAATATTAACATGTGACTAATAGAAAAATTATCATGCATCTAAACATTGGCACACTCTGACCTCGTTCAGGATTTTGCACCTAACCCTGAAGGTTTTGTAGGTGGATGCGGAATCACGAACTCAATTGAGATCGACCGTTATACGACAAGATAGGACCCCGTCCGTGCCGATAGCGTGTGAATTTTTCGCTGTAGAACACTGTGATCGAATCTTTATTGGACCATTTCGCCAATATTTATTATACAGAACGTGTCTTTTGATTCAAGCTACATATATGTGTATTTTTGATATATTCAAATTGTTTTTTTAAATAACGCATTTTCAATGAAAATAGATGTTATTTCTGGCAAATAAAATTATGAAAGAAAAGTATTTAATTAGAGTTATATTCTTGTATTTCAATTCTTTTTCCATACTTCAGAGAGTAGATATAGAGAAAGATATTAAACTTACGGAGGGAAAACTTATGTGTAATATGTTATACTTGACTCTGGTTGTACTACTTTTAAAAGAACACGACGACATCGATAATATTATAGCATTATTGAAATTGGTATATTTTCTTGCCTAGGTTAGAAATATATTACAATAGACTATGGTACAACAATCGCAATGAAATAAAGGAATATTTTCGAGTGCCGTTACCCGTTTCCTTTACAAATATAGCGTATATCCTGTTTCTACAAGATATTAATAATTCCATTCCCAGCAGACGAACGAGTTCCTGATTGAATTTCCTCCTTCTTTAACAAATTGAGACAGATTCCACAAAAGATCAATGAAATCAGTTCAAACATCGTCCTATGCAAATATTTTGGAATAAATTTAAAATTAATAAGGTCAAACGGATCTCTTTTTTTCAGTGTATTTTTGTAATTGAAATAAAATGATAAGTCTTTATTGAATTACTTTTGATAAATTATAAGTTTTACAATTAGTTTAAAAAATGTTTAGAAAATAATTCGATTCAATTCAATTCTCTTGTTACTTACTGGACTGTTTGAAGCCAGTTAAGTACAGATTACTTCGCCAATGTTACGTAGAGTTTAGAAAATACACCCAAGTTTTAACTTCAAACTAAATAAGTCCAAGTTTAAAAAATACCAATGAAGAGTCATGTTCTGATAAAAATATCAATAAAACATATTTAACTAAATGTTTTATAGATTGCAAAAGTCAATTGGAAAAACAAAATTGAATAGTTTACAAATAGATTTTATCCTCATGGCACCTGTACGATAAAAATGTAATTGTGATTTTCATTTTTTATTGAATTATCAATTAATTCATTATTATGATAAAATTAGCTACAATGGATCATAACTGGTCGACGTAGCTAGGGCCGACCTCGGCACCACACCCAATAAAATAAATAATAATGACAAAATTCATGATCATGGTCAAATAACGTGCTAGCAACTCAACTCGGCCAAACTATTAGATCGATGCGGGGGTTCTTATCGTATTTTTACTTATTTCTATAAAAAATTACAATTTTAAAATTTTACAGAGAAAATTTGTTTAAAATAGACTAATATTGATAGATAAAATTATTGATTAAAAATATATTTGGCTTACTGAATTATATTGGTGCTTCACGTTCTATTATAACTAAAGTATGGTAAACCTTTATTGTAAGGAAAGTGCTTTGAAAAGCTTTAGAATATCAAAAGTTTAATGGGACTTTTCAGTTGTGATTAAATCAAACAAGCTTGATAGCTAACATTAATCCAACAAAGTCCATCGAAGTTATTATAGCCCATTAAGATGTCTTATCGTAAATTCTTATACTTAATTATTCTTTAGGTAGATCAATATAAAGGCACAATTTATTTTATTTTGTTTTTCTCTTCCAACGTCGGTAATTTCTTTTCTAACTCATTGAATACTTTATTTACGAGTAGGAATTCATAATATAATTTATTGCAGAAATAAAACCATAGAATTTAGATTATTTATACTAACGACTTACCATTGCTTCGCTTGGGTGCATCCCTAGATGCCTGTCTTACTTACGTAATCTGTGTATTAAATCTATACAGAGAAATAAAATTGAAGTATCTGCTTGTAATGTCAAAATAATAGCTTTTTACTTTAATACTTATAAGAAAATAAAAATAAAAATTTATACGACTAATCTCCAAAACGGCTGAACCAATTTTGACAGGATTTTCAATGGCAGATAGCTGATGTTATAAGGAGTATATACATAGGCTATTTTTATTTCAGAAAAAAAATTAGAGTTTCGCGCAAAAAAATTAAAACCTATGAAATTGTGAACAAAGTCCGCGTATCTAGGGCACCCAAGCAAAGCAAGGATAATGTAAATCCAACCAGCCCCAGCCGTCTTAGTATGAAGAAGTAATAAACATACACACATATAACAACACAATATTATGTCGCAATTAATTATAATTGCAAAAATTAGCTGTATTAGTCCAATTTAATAATATGATAGCTAAAACATTTGCTTTTGTTTCAGAACGCTTGAATGTGCTATACGAGCGTAACTGGACTAGGCTGGTCCATGAACAATTACGCAAATTCGAATCGTCAATAGTGGCTGCGGCGAGGCAGTCCGACGCGCAGCCTGCTGAGTCGATAGAAACTAAATGGACATTCTCCGGAGCACTAATCTACTGTATTACATTAATCACTACTATAGGTCAGTTCTCTGTTTACGTTTTATTATTTAAATAAATTAAATTTCACATAAAATTTTCCTCATAAAGTAATATATTCGAGATAAAAGCCATAGCTTGATTTTCTTTAAAAATTTAATATTTACTAATTAAAAAAAATAACAATTAGTTTTTTTTAAAGTAAAATTATTATGTTGAGGAAGGCTGAAGAATAATTATTACTTGTATATTTATATAAATTATTAGTTTAAACCTGTGTGTCTATCTGCCTGTCACTCTATAGGTTTTTTTCTTTAAATTCATTTAATGAAACTCAAATGGTACTAAATACCATCCTTAAGATAATTTTGTCGCTATTAATTGATAGAACTAAAGAATTCGCAATAAAGGATAAAAATAATTAAATTATATTTTTTATAATTTTAAAATGCATAGTTTGAAATAAATTGATAAAAAACTTGTCTTTAAATGTTTATAATGTAGTGGGTCCTCCAATTGAGAGTATTCATGTAAAATTTGAAAACACCTGCTATGCGTAACTTATTAACTATTCTGCGAGCAAGGTGATAATTAGTAGTTTTCAAAATATGTAATATACCATTTCGAATTCAATAATATATAATATTATGTAATTCAAGTTTCTATTTATAATACATTATGTATATTTGACGACACGTTTGGCTCAGTTTGTAGTGACCCTACTTGCTGTGCCAGCGGTCGCGGGTTCGAGTCCCGCTGGGGGCATTCATTTGTGTGATGAGCGCGTATTTTGTACTTCAGTCATGGGTGTTTATATTTATAATATGCATGTATTTAAAGTTATATATATGTAGTGTATCAACTATCTGCTATCCATAACACAAGCCTCGTAGCTTACCATGGGACTACATGGTGCCGTATGTTAATGTCTCAACATTTATTTATCTTGATTTGCAGTTATTAGTTATAACTATAGGAAACCTTACGTATACTGATTTGACCGGAAGCTAAATGAATATTCTGCGCAGCTCTGATACATTGTATTATACGTATTAATCTCTATTGTAACCAAGGCCTCTCTTGGAGTGAGATATTGGGCCTTTGGAAGCTAGTACTCATAAGTCAACTCTATTAAGCAATTTGTTATCCTTCTAGCCTAACTCTGAATAATGTCATATGTTATGATATCCTACACCTATAGGAGTTAATGAGTTTTATAGAAATAAAATATTCTGTTCGAGAGATTTTATGGAACAAAATGTAATTTGACTAAATATAAACATTTATGTATGTATGTACATAGGATATTTTTACAAATTAAATTAAATTCAAAATTGTATCTAAAATGGTCCCTTAAATATTAAAAATAACTATTTAATTCAAATTATTATTGACATTCAAACACTTATGGAACTCCTGGTTTGATAAATAGGTACATACCTAAAATATTGCCTGCTCCAAATTAATATTGCTAAAATTCTAAACTAAAAGCTTAACACTTAAGCGAGCACTAATTGAAAACTTAATATTAAAACGTCCCTCTAAAATAATATATTTTGTTTCTCAAAATAGTACCTTTTATAGAACTTCTCCAGAAATATTCTAAGCCACTCAACTTTGAAAACAAAGTTTCAGATGATAATCGATCACTACTTTACTTAGTCCCTACTTTGTTTACCGTGTCCTTCAATACATTAATTGGTTTATTTTATTTTCTTACTAGCATTGCCCGCGGCTCCGGCCGCGTTTAGATGACCAAAAACTAAATTCTTAGCTTTTACATATTAGTATACGCTTACATTGTAGATTTTTATTTCTTCTCAGAAATGAGACATTTTCCCGCGGTAAAAATACCAAATTTCATCGAAATCCCTTCAGTGGTTTGTCTATGATGCGGTAACACACAGACAAACAGACTGACAAATATTCTAAAAACTATAGATTCGGCCTCTGTATCGATAATAATGTTTATTTCATAGGATTTTCCAAAAAATATTTAATGTACAGATTCGGCTTACTTACAATTTTATTATATGTATAGAAAGGCGCAAAAATCCTACTTCAGTAAACGCTATCAATCATTGTCAGTTTTATATTTTGTGTACATTTAAATTGAAGTAATTAATAATGTCCAAGGAAAGGTTAATTAGGAACAGGCTTTCGTGTAATATAACTATATATTTTTATAACAACATAATTTATAATTGATAAACCATTTTTCTTTCTTCGAGTACATTAATAACCCGAATATGTTTTTGGACTAATTTTATTAACATAAAAGTTTTTTGTATGTAAAAAACAGTATTTCATTACAATAGTTGATTTAAATGCCTTACATAATATTATGTATAATATCCCCTCACTACTCTCAATTTCGTAATCGTCAATAGTTAGTCATGAATTTTTTATCTGCGTTTTCCCTATTATGAGGTTTGATTTAGCAGTGTTTTTTTAATAAAGGAGTTGTAAATAAAACTATCTTTTCGGATTTTTTCGCGAATTTATTTTGATTTTTGGTTCCCGACGTTTCGAATGTTTCGAATTTATTTAAAATGTCAAGTATTCGCGTAAATCTAAGAAAGTATTAAAGGAGTTATAGTTTTAACAGGACTAAACTTTGTTGCATTATCAATATTTTTATATTAATAATATTTTCTAGGTTATGGCAATGTTTCCCCGAGGACTGCAGCGGGCCGAGCGGCAACGGTAGCGTATGCAGCGGCCGGTGTGCCATTAACGCTGGCTTGCTTGGCAGGTCTAGGCGCATCCTTGGCACGACTGGCTAGGCTAGCGTGGTTACGAGCGACTAAAAATAAAGTGCCTAACACTTGGAGAAAAGATGGAGAGGTATATTTTATACATTATATTATATAGTTTTATTAGATTTCTTAGGGTTTTAGACGGGATAAATATTTATTTTAATTTAACTCGTCTAAAACCCTGAAAGACTGTTCAAAATTTATTTAAAAGGATTACAATGGACAGAATACATATATATGAAGAGCAAAGTTCGCAATACACGGACAGACAGTTCAGCGTTGCTTCATTTTTATTGTTCTATATGCTCTCTGTAAATATTTAAGCGTACAATAACACTGTTGATAGATGGAAATATAAAAAAAAAGATTATTTCAATAAAACACCTATTTGTACATGGGATGAAATTCCAATTTTATACAAATATAGTATTTTTTTAGCTCGAGAATCACTTTCAACTTCATGAACAGCAGAGATTATTGCCTCAACCAACGGAAAACAATCAGTACACATCATTTCCGCCAAGGATGCACAAGTCACCTGGCACTGTGAGAACCAGAGCAGGTGATAAAGGACAGTACTCACAAGTCTTTGAAAAGGTACCAACCAGCCCTCGTGCGGCAACACTTGGTCGAATCAAGCGTAGTGCCTTAGTTGATGGTAAGAATTGCTATAATATTTAACCATTGATATAAACATAGCTAAAATTGATGTTAGCTTAAATTTTAAGTAAAATTTTCATTTTTCCTTTACAAATAACATTACAAATTTAGTAAACTCGTTATTATAATAAAATTTCTTATGAGATATTTCCTTAAGTATGTATGTAATTATATATTTTTTATCCACATGTTGAGTTTTGAACGTAACTTCTATAAATATTAAATAAAAATTCTATTACAGCGTTTTCACTCACTTTCTTCACTTTTACTATCAATTTAAGATTATTAAATTATTACGAATATAGAATAACTTTAAACACCAAGAAAATATTTTTTAGAACCACATACTTCATCATCACTCCAAACTCAAACTCTAGATCGGAAAAGGACTGCAAATAGTAAATGCCACGCAACAGTTCATGGTCAGGGACGAGCGAGGACGATACAGAGGCCTCGTGGGGCCGCTATAGAACAACTAATAGCTGAGGAGTGTGGGGAGATATACCTCAACAGAAGTCAGGAAGAATTGGATGATTCTGAAGATCCGGATGAAGGGTAAGATACATTTCAATTTATTTATACTTATAAATAAAGTGAATCTGTGAATTTTAGTAACTCAATATAGGATATATTGCACAATTGTCATTTGCATAATATTTAAGCCAAAACAAACGATAACATTTTTTATGTGCACTCGTTTTGCTAATATCCTGAGGTGATTAACTTTTTTTAACAAAAATTGCACTGGCAGAAAGGTGATTTAGGTGAAAAGGAAATAGGATATACATATTATGTTCACGTTTAAAATATTTAGCAAATACAGAAATCAGTCGGGCAATATTGTAATTTTTGGATTGTATTTAATTAATAAATGATTTTACTCCTCATTTTTATGTTATAGACTTATCTATATATTATGATCACGTACGTTAGGTCGATCCTCATAAAGTGTAAATGATTATAACTACTGCAGCTGTGTTTGCTTTAGTGTATTTAATTCTTTAATAATAGAGATAATATATTAATATTCCCTAACACTACAACACTATTCCTTAAGGGAAAAGAAAGCGGAAACGCCTTAAGGGAATGAAAAAAATCTTACCATAAAAATCTCTTGTCCACAGAATATGTCCTCACGATACTCCATCAAGAGTGCCTTTGATATGGAACGAAGAGAATCACAAAGTAAAGAGCACCGCTGTTACTAGCAGCACCACAAGTGTGCAGCACCAGAATAGTCTTGAACATTGCCACATACCAGTAGGAATCGTTTTATTTTTGCTGCTTGCATACATCTGTATTGGAGCAGCAATTTTCTCCGCTTGGGAAAATTGGAGTTTTCTAGATGCAGCATACTTTTGCTTTATCGCATTAGCCACTATAGGTTTCGGTGATTTTGTACCAACAAGTTTCTTAACATTGAAGAGCACAGAAAGCTCGAAAAGTGAATATATTCAAATGATAGCGTGTTGTGTTTACCTTGTGTTTGGACTTATACTAATTGCGATGGCTTTCAGCCTTTTGCAAGATGAAGTTGTCGCCAGATGTACGCAGCTTGCCAACAATTTAGGTCTGACAAGACAATGACAGTACGAGAAGAGCGAATGTAGCTCAACAGATAATCCTTTAAGGATGTTATGATCGTTGTTATAAGGAGTTACAAGATCGCTCGCGGCTCTCTTCCGTACTTCTTATTATTACATATTTACCAATGTATAGATATCATTATTTTCTCATAGCATTTAACTGATCGAATGAAAATTTGAAACTTTTTACGGTGTTTGTACTCAAAATCAAGAGGTTTGTGATGTAAATAATGTAAAAACGTATTTATAAAAGCAAGGCTGAAATTGTAATGAAACAATAAAATTGTGTGAATTGTAATTTTCTTTTTCTAACCCCTCGCCGTTCCTTACATTCTTGACGACGTTTCCTATGAATAAAGATATAAGGTCTCGTATATCTTCTTGATAGTAATATATGTCAGGTATAACAAATTGTCAAGCTCGCTTGAATCACGATTTCGAACGCTTTGCTATTAGGTAATTTATGAATAAATATGGGTCACTTTTTTAAATAATCCCATGCGAAAGTTTGGATGGATGTTTGCTACTAAATCACGCCAGAATGGCTGAAAGGACTTGGATGAAATTTGGCACACAGATAGATTATATTCCGGAACAACACATAGGTTACTTTTAATACCGGGAAAATTTATGGTTGCCAAGGGATATATTTGTTAAATGGACCTTTTCTTTATATTATGATTTTATTATTTTGATTTATAGTAATATATATATATATACATATATATATATATACATATATATATATATATATATATATATATATATATATATATATGTATATACGTGTGTGTGTGTGTGTTGTGTGTTTAGCTGCATTTTTAATTATTAAGTAGTCTCAAAAATCGTATTTAAATACAATGGAGAAAATTATAAATATATTTAATTATATATACAAACAAATGTACACAGTTATTACTGTACAATTCATTTCCGCGTGGAATAGTGGCAAAAATGATAGGCGCATTCCGCCGTTGAATGGCAATGCTGATTCGTTGGGCGACAATGTATTTTAATTTTAAATTAAATAGATAGGGTACGAATCCGCTACATCTTATGCAATATCAACATTATAATAATCTTATTGATACAGTCAACTTGAATGCAAAAATTGATGGTTAAAGTTGTCGTTCGATCATGCAGAAATGGAGTACTGTTTAAAGTGATGTTAAAAAATAAATTAGTAACACTATGCATCTGAGCAAAGAGAGGATATGTAACTAGTCGGACGACGAAAGTTTGTGTATGTGTGTATTTTTGTTACTCTATCAAGCTAAAAGTGCTGGACAGGTTTGGATGAAATTTAGTATACATTCAGGCTATTACCTAGTTACCCTTTTTTTTAACATTGGGAAATGCATTCACCGGCGTAATACAGCCAGTACTACCCACTAAAAGGTGAACGCACGTTGGGGGGGATTACCTAGTTACCCTATTAAAGGCTACTTTTAGGCACTTATAGACTTTCAGGCATCCAAGTGAAGCGAGTGTAAGTAGTTATAAAGTAAATGAAACACAACATTTACATAATATTTAATACGTGGTTAATTGCAAATATACTATCTATATAAAATTGAGATTCAAAATCATTTTGATTTCTCACATTCGAAATATACCTAACCGGATCAGATTCGACGCGTGCACCGAGTTACACTCGACATCGGCTTACGTGCGGTCCAACGAGATTCGGACGTCCTTGAATTAACGGCCGGTACTGTTGGTCTGAAAATTTTAAGACTCGCTTGAATTTTGTTCCATTTTGCTTCGCTGGGACGAACATTTATATAGAAATACTAGCCACTTACCCTTGCTTCGTTCGGGTAAGTCCCTATAGGTCACTTTATCATACATTATATTGATTTATTTTAAAACTGTTTATTTAGGCAGCGCACTCCAAAAAAGCAACTCAGCTGCCACTTTACTTCCGATCAATTCCGATTAACATTATGTTAAAATTATGAATTAAAGATACGCAAAGAAATATAACACCGACGCTCTAAATGGACATAATTATTCATATTTTTCTTGAAACTCAAAATTGAATGATTTTCTACGCTTGAGATATTGACAAATAATCAAAACTGGTGCACAATCAGTGAAGTTATCGCGTAAAATACATTAAAAACACACACCTGAATTAAGTACATCACTCTTCCTTTTTTGAAGTCGGATAAACCATTAAGTTTTTCAATAACATCCTTTAATATAGTATGTGGTAGGGGATAATATCAGCTAATATCATTACTGAAGTCTGTGTACCGTTTAATGTACATTAAGGGTGTTAACACGCACGGGCGTTTGCGAAGGGACGTGGTTGTTTGTGTAAACTTGCATTGCGCGAAAATTGTATGTCATTACTTTAATATACGTAATGCAACTTCATAAAAGTTATTAAATTGAGTTTTTAAGAGATTTGGGAGTATAGTATTAAATCTATAAAGAATTTATTTTCGCTTTCGGTAATACTGTTAAGATTAGAGCAATCGCTATTCGATTCTTTAAATAGATTGCTTGAAAGAATTTAGTTTAAGCAAAATATTTTCTCTTGACTAATTAATTATCATTTTTTTTAATGGAATTCAGTGACAAACGAGCAGACAGCCCACCTGATGGAAAGCAGTGCCTGTCGCCCATAACACCTAAGGTTCATGCACTTAGGTTTTATGTTACAAAAATGCAGAACCCCGGGTGCGTTGTCACTGTGAGGACTAAGATGATATGCCTCTTGCCTGTAATAGCGCTGGCTATCTTATCCTTCAAACCGAAACACAACATTGTAATCATTGTTGCTTGGTGGGAGAAATAGATAAGGGGGTGGTACCCATCCAGTCGGACTCCTCAGGCTTGACAGAGTTCTACCACCGGTAAAATTTAGAGGTTTATGTTGTCTGAAAATAAAATATCTTAAAATGAAAAAGTTTTAGAATTTTTTTTTTTCAATTGCAAAGAAATTTTCAAGATGGTTCGGGGGAGATCGAAAATTAAAGTGGTTCATTTGAACTATAGATATTTTAATGATAGTTCATGCATACTTGCGGTACACGCAGAACATAAGCTTAAAGAGAGAGAAAAGAGCTTAATCCTGACTGACTGACTACATTGAGTCTACTTTCCGCCACTAATTGCTCAACTCGTATCTCAACTTCATTTTACTTCACTTCTCTACTTTTCTTATTTCTTATAGATCTTTGTATAACTCCGAAATTTAAACGATAACTGGACATATTTTTGTCCTTTTTATATACATACACAAAGAGCATTGTACTTTTCGATTTTTTTTAGAAATATCTTTTTTTTTTCTAGTAATTATTCATCTCTTTTCCACTCACTATTTACATTAACCATACTTATCATTCTTGGGGCGTGTTATTTTGATGTAAATATTATGTTCTATACACAATTCTATATACAACTATTACACAAAATTTCTAGTAGCTTTATAACTTGTGTTTATGCAGTGAATGTGTTGAATATCTTCGTGTGATTTGAAACTATAAATATTAATCATCTTCTTACGTAGTCAGTATGGACAATTGGAGCCGGATGATCGTTACCAAAGTTCAAACTAACAAAATATAGCTGTTTCACCTGTTTCCCGCTTTGACGGCAAACTTAATAAAACTTTGAATACGAAGTACAAAGTTTGTATGGAATGAAAGACAGCAGTTTATGACCCAACAATATAGCAAATGAAATTGGTATTCGCCGAAATATTTTTGCTTATGTTGCTTGTTAACTCGCTTCACAATTCTGAAAATGTTTACGTGCCTGCCTTCGAGTAATATTTGTTACATTCAAATTGTTATGAAATGTAGCCTATAGTTATTAAATGAAAGAAGTGGAAAATAAATGTTAGCTATATCGTTAATAATTCTATATTATTTTTCCTAATAAAAAAAACTCACTTTTTTGTTCTTTACTTTTTTTTAATAGTCAAGATAATTTTAGCGGACAGAGAGATATACGTATGTATATGGAAAGTTGCCATTCGAGCTTTGAACACGCGAGCCTTAGATTTTCATCTGTGACTGTGATATGCAATGTAAATTTATACTTCTTCTTGCAATAAAAATGAATCTGTATCCATTTAATTGTATTTCACAGTATATTTATACTAATCGGTAATAGTATGGAAAAGTTACAAAAAAACAAGATTGCCTTTATTAAATTCTAGCGACTCACCCTCGCTTTGCTTGGGTTCGTCCCTAGCTTGATTACCCATACAAACTTTCATCCCCATTTTCACTCCCTTAAGAGATGATTTCCGGTTTTAGTTAATATAGAATAAAAAGTATTCTTTGCTCTTCCCAGTGTCTAAAACTATCTTCTTACCAAATTTCATTTTAATCGGTTCAGTAGATCTAGAGATTATCCCCCACAACGTCACACACTCACAAACTTTACCTCCATATAATATTAGTATAAATTACTAAATAATTCTTTAATTTTCCATCCATTATAAGGATAGTGTAAATATATATGTATATAATATGTTTATTTTTTAACTTTTTCTCAAAAAATAAACTTGGTAAATCTATTAGACTACGTCTTTATCCCTACACTTCGTTTCCGAGACAGATGTTGTCGAACTTCCATTTGTCTTCGTCGAAGGACCGCTGTAAAAAGTTGATCGATGCGACCAACACATTAACAGTAAACACCTGCTTAACAAGTTTGCTTTTTATTTACGACTTTAGTACTATTTTTATTGTGGGAGAAATAAATGTAACATAAAAATTAGTTATTTATTTTTGCTTAGGATATTTTTGTGAGTGAATATCAAAAAAAATATTCCGTAGTATTATATTACTTAAAATATGTACATATGTTGGAGAAACAACATTCTGCTCGACATCGTCATTAGAGGTAACAAACCTCGTGGGCGTTATTAGGGTTGAATGAAAATTCATTTCTACTAATTCCACTTCCTTCGTCATATAATCTTACATTATTATAATTAATAAGAATAATTTGTTTGCTTGTATATAAGGGTGATAT